AAAAGAGAATAATACCCTGACTCTACTGCTGGAGTCATTGACCACAGGCAGTTATCTTACCTGTTTCCAACAGAAATTGTTTTTGAAAATATGCTGCTAACAAGTAAGTGCCTTGTTTAGATAGTGGAGAACCTGCAGCCATGTTTTTTACTATAATATTCTTGACAGTAATGTAGAAGTGAGGGCCCCTCCCCTCTTTAAGGAGAACTTTATCTTTTAAAATTATAACTGAGTTGGTTACAATGTTATTAGGATATTAGCGTAATTACTTTCTTGCTGCCAGGACAAAACACCCAACATCCACAAGTTAAAGGATAAAAGGTTTATGTTAGCTCACAGTTTGTAGATTGCAGTCCAGTTGGCTGGCTTAAGGCAGGGCAGCATGGAAGAGGGACCTGGCAGAGGAGAAACAGTTCATGGCATGGCAGGCAGGAGGCAGCACAATGTCCATCCAGGCTACAAGTCTGTTGTTGGTGCCACCTACACTCAGGTTGAGTCTTCTCTCTTCTGTAAGTCTACTACCCAAACCCAGGAGCGCTAAACCAGTCAATGGAGTAATCCAGTACATTCATGATCTGGTATCACACACCCATGATCTAGTCACACTCAAAAGGCCCACCTGTAAGTGCATGAGGCTTTGGGGAGATATCCAGATACAAGCCATAACATTCTGCTTTGGATCCAAAAAGTCTCAAGCACATCCCTTAATGCAGAATACATCACTCCATCCACCATCTCTATGAGTTGCCAAAATCCTAACAGTGTGATCATTGCAGAAAAGTTCAGTTTCCCATGAGATTTAAGGCAAACTCTTGGCTGTGAACCACTAAAAAAATGAAAGTTAAACACGTGCAGCACACAATTGCAGAATATAAACATTCCCATTCAAAAAGGTAGAAATAGGGGACTACAAAGGAATGGGACCAAAACAAGACCAAAATTCAGCCAGGCAAACATTAAGTCAGTAGTTCCATGTCCAGCATCTGGTGCAGTCAGTGACAAGATGTAAACTCTAAAGGGCTTGGGTAGCTCTGCCACTGCAGCACTTCCAGTAGTTGTAGCACTCACAGCTTCTCTCTTAGACCAGTTTTGCTTACTTCTTGCAGCTTTCCTCAGACCATCCACGTTCCTGGCTTCTCTGACCTTTTGGGATCTCTCCTGTACCTTCAGCTTTACATTTAAAGCCTAACACACTGCCCTCTCAGGAGCACACTGCATGGCCTCCCAACCTTTCTTCTGAATCCTTGACCCCACAACTCTTGCATTCTACATGCTTCTAAAACCAGCACCACAGGGATGCTGCCAAAGTTTGCTGCCAGCTAGAGCAGTACTTCTCTTTCGGTTGTAGTGCCTGGCTTGCTGAGTGCTGTGAACATAATTCTGAGGAACATTCCCTAGGTCACTGCCATTCTGGAACATGGTGTCTTGGGGCTGTATTCTCAAGGCAAAGTCTACCACTTTTGCAATTTTGAGGCTGTGAGGGATAGAGTCGTGCTGGTTCTTGTGATACTCTCAAGGTTATCTATTGTCCACTACCAAAGTACTTGACGTTTAAATGCCAGTCTTTTCAGCAGTCTAATTTTCCTCTTCTCTATCTTTGCAGGCTGCAGCTTTACCTGAGCTTCCTTTAAGGTCAAATTCAAAAATTTTTAAAATCATTCTGCTCAGTTGTTTATTCACAACATAGATCTGGCTGAAAACCCCAGTAGCCATACTACTGCCTCAATATTAGACCGCCTTGAAATTTCTTTGACCAATTAATTACTCTCACACTTAATCTCAGTCTCCTGCAAAACTGAACAAGCAAAATACAGATACGTTTTCTGCTAAAGCATAACACACATGGCTTGGAATCCACCTGCCAGTGCAATCTCTGTTTCTAACTGCAGTGTCCTGAGCCTGTTACTGGCTAGATTTCTGTCACCATTGTGGTCTTCTGCGCTCCAACCAGAATCTCCTGTCAAGTTCTGTTCACAGCATTCTATGGCTGCTTCTCCAGCAGGCATCTTTAGACCTTTCCAAATTTGAGCCACATTGCCAGGGTAGCATCATAGCAATGACCCCTCTTTTCTCATACCCAAATATTAGCCCTGCTCTTGATACTTTATGGCTGTTTATTACAAATTAAAAGATTTGTTTTCCAGGGTTGTTATCAATTGAGAATGAACAATCACAGCTCAGAGAATTGGCTCTTCCTCATTTCCCCGAAATAAAACCTAACTGGAAAATAAGCCCTAGGATGATTTTTCAAGATGCTCATAATATAACCTGACCCCCAAAATAAGCCCCAGTTAAGATCATCAACCAGATGGATTTATTTAGTACCTCCAGTGCAACATATTGTTATAAAATAATATTAATGCATAATTAAATATAAATATTGCTAGCATTACTGCTTAACATAAATGATAACCTGTGTAAACAGATAAGCTTGAGACTTACTGCTAAATGACCAATTGGAGTACAGATAGAAACTTTGTGAAGCTTAGCCTGCAGTCCGTTGTGATTTGGGTGAAGAATTCATGAGATAAGATCACTGACAGCTGTGTTGCCAGTGTACTCATTTAAGGTGAACTCTGTTCAACATGAGAGATTAGGGCCAGTGGTTCTATAGGAAATGGAGTCATAGGAAATTCAGACCAAGATTGGGGATTTGAGTTAATTAGGATGCTGTTCCGGAAGAAGGTAAAATGACTGTATTTGAATAAATGTCGATTTTTGTACACAAATAAATGTAGATTATTGTTCATGAATACATGTCGTACGTGAAAACATAAGACAGCCTCTGAAAAGAAGCCTATTTTGATTTTTGGAGTGAAAATTAATATAAGACTTGGTCTTATTTTCATTTTTTTGTTTGTTTTGTTTTTGTTTCGGTACTGGGAATCAAACTAATGACCTCTAACTTACCAGGCAGGCACTTATACCACTGAACTATATCCCTGGCCCAGTCTTATTTTCAGAGAAATACACTTGTTGGGGTTTTGACTCAAATTTCTTTTTGTAGATCTCTACAAAGCATTATCATGGGTTTAGAGGGACCCTTTAGCCTTACTTCAGCAAAGCCGTATTCTTCTGGGAGAGACTGTAAGGGAAGGAGACATGTGATTGCTGAGTACTTAACTGTGTGCCATGTTGCACGCTAGTTACTGTAATCTTTAATCCTCAAAATAAGCTTGCTTTTATTTTATAATTGAGAATGTTTGAGTTCACCTACTTACTAAATAACTCAGTCAAGGGCACAGCTGTGGTGTTAACCTGGATCCTGTTTTTTTCCCCTGCAAACCCCCAGGTGGATAGGCATGTGGGCCAGCAGTGGGTGAGGAGGAGTGAGCTTGGCCTCTGGTTCCACTGGAGCCTGAGTCCTTGTATTTGAATGTCCGTTGTGTCTCGGTAAGCAGTTGCCACAGGGTGCTAACCTCTGGGCCTCAGATTTCTTTCCCCCATTTATCCACTTCTTTCTTTTTGAACTGCTGTTTATCCTGCCTGTTGTGGGGTCAAAGAAAAATCATTAACAGTACACTCTCATTTGCAGACAGTGTAATTAACCCTTCCAGACGGTCTTTTTTCCCCATTTAGTGGTGATGATGAAAGTACCCAGTTCTTATTTAGGAGAATTAAATGCAAAATTATTAATACCTGACATGCAGTAGTAAGCATTAATATGTGTCAATTATAAAAATAGTTTGTTAGTTTGCTTATTAAGGTATGTACCCAATTTTCAGGTTTAGGAACTTGATTTTATTAGTCTTTCAGGTTTGCTAGGATTCTGTAGACATATTCCTAACAGCCAAATTTATGATTTAGGTGAATAACTACACAGAATGTTACCTTATTAAGAGGATTTTCTACTTACATATTTAGTTATTTCTGTGTGATGTCTAAATATTTAGTAATATTTTTGTAGCACAAATGAAATCAAAGTAGTTTTATAGGATACTTTACACTCGATAGGACCTGGAGAATGTTTCACAGAAACATTAGCACTTTCTGGACACATGAATGGTGCTATGAGTAAGGATACACCTTATTCCTCTTGGGTTTGCCTGACTCTCTCTTACCCCTTTTAGTATATTATACAAGGTGAATAGCTAAACCATATTAGTAAGAGATTTATATTTGCAGTTTCCTATTTCGCTGTAAAGGATAGTAATCTGTATGCAGGGAATCTTTGTGGGGACAGTTGAGTAGATTACCTCCACCTGATCCTGTGTGCTGTGATCCATGTAATTTTTTCTTTGGATGGTAAAGGGCATTCCTTCCACCTTTCCTACGCACAGTTGATGTGCCAGCTTTTGGCTCCTTGATTATCTGGTAGTTTGGGATTATTTGTTGACAATTTGCAGAGAAACTTATGCTTTCATGTTTCATAGGATTAGAGGTTAACATTTCCCCCTTACTTTTAAAAGAATTTTTTTTATGTAGGCATCAGAAACTCAGAGCTGGTTGACCTTGTGGGAGTGTAGATGTGTGCTTTAGAGCCTAGTGGTTGTGAGTTTTAATTCTGCGTCTGCCATATACCTCCTTGAACAGGTACTCAGATGTTATGATTTCAATGACAGTATCTTGAAGTAGGGTTCAGTGATAGTAACTACTTAACTCCTAGGTCATAAAGACAGATCAAGGGCTGGGGATAGAGCTCAGTGGCACAACGCCTACCTGGCAAGTACAAAGTCCTGAGTTGATTCCCGGTACCAAAGAAAAAAGACAAAAAGACAGATCACGTAATGTACATCATGGTATCCACAGCTTTTGATGCAGACTCAGTAAATGTTAACTGTTTTGACATTGGCTACTCTATCTACACGCACTGTTTTATACATGAGACAAGTCAGGCAAAAAGAAATTGTAAACAGCTTGTACAAAGTCAGATAATTAAACTGCAAGAATCTTAGTTTCTGAGATGTTTATATAAAGAAACATTTTAAAATGATGGATAACATTTTTTTTCCATTTACTATGGCTGTCAGAAATGAATCTCTTTGTTTTCTTTCAGGATCTGGAGTTCCATGGAGTGATGAGATTTTATTTTCAAGATAAAGCTGCTGGAAACTTTGCAACAAAATGTATCCGGGTGTCTAGTACTGCAACCACTCAGGATGTGATTGAAACTCTGGCAGAGAAATTCCGCCCTGATATGCGCATGCTGTCTTCTCCCAAATATTCACTCTATGAAGTACACGTCAGTGGAGGTTAGTGTATACAGGTGGGGTTTGCTGGAGTGTGTCCTGGAGTAGATAAACTGTCCAGGGGCATTTTAGGCACAGCGCTGGTTTAATTCCCATCTCTCTGTGTCTTTTACACAAGCGGGGTAGTGGTTGGCAGGTTGGCAGAACTTTTATATCTGGGAACCGTGTTTGTATAAATTCCTAGCACATGTGTTTATTGGAAGCTAGATTGATTCAATAAATGTAATATATGCTGCTTTCACCAAAGTAAGAAGCATGACATTTTATAATTAAAATTATCTGCCAGGCATGGCACACGTGTAATCTCAACACTTGGGAGGTTGAGGCCGGAGGATTGCCACAAGTTCAAGTCCATCTCAGGCTACATAGCAAGACTGTCTCAAAAAAAATTTTATCTAACATATCAGAGTGTCACATAAGTCAGTGCTACACTAACTGCTTTTAGAATATTTTATGTAAGTAATATTGTAAGTAATAGTAACCCGGTTAAATGTTGTATGGGTATATGCCAATGATCTTGCTGTTGTGTTTTTGCTTTCTGAAATAACACACTTTTATTCTTTGTTTGTTTGTTTGTTTTGAGACAAGGTCTCACTATGCAGTTCAGGCTGGCCTTGAGCTCACTTTGTAGCCCAGGCTGGTCTCAAACTCACAGCATCCTCCTGCCTCAGCCTTCCAAGTGCTGGGATTATAGGCATGCGCCACCAGGCCCAGCCACACTTTTATTCTTCAGGAATAATTAGGACCTCTTAAGGAAAATCCTTCTTATATACTTAGTAATATCTTCTTCTTTTAACATTGGGAATTTCTGAAAGTACCTTGTATGGTTGTATAAAATGATAACTCAAGTTGGACTGAATAGAAATTTAGAACTTTATATAAATTTGTATAGGTTCTTTGGAAATGTTGAATAACCTGTGTAAAAAGTACAAATTATAGTAGTGTAGCAAATAAAGGATTCTGTAAGGCACAACAGACCAAGTCTGAATACCTCTGAAATTTTATACACACTTATCTTTGGACTACAGATACACAGCTTTCTCTTTGCGTTTGAAATTTGTGTATAATGTATAGGATTTTCAGATGTAATAAACCCTTGTTTTCAGTGATACATAAGGCAGGTTTTTTTTATTACACTTTCAAGGATACAGGAGCATTCCCAGCATGAATTCCCAAACTAAATTTGACAACAGAAGGCATTTTCAATGTGGAATAATCACACCCCCCACCCCTACCACCACACCAATTTTCCCTCTGGATTCTGGCCCTTTTTTAATCTGTTGCTGTTTGATTAGTTGAATACTACCAAGTGAAGTCATTGGAATACTAGCATGTAAGATTGATATTTGAGATCTAATAATTGAATGACTGATTTTTAAAGGAACTTTCCATTAAACTGTCTTTACTAGATTTTTTTTAAACTAAAAAGTAAAACATATTATTTGTAAGGGTTAAACAAAGCAGAACTATTTAGAGAAAAAGGCAGTGGTGTCCCCTCAGGTACCCTTGCTCGCCTCTGTGTATAGCGCAGTGATGTCCCCACCCATGCTTAGACACAGCAGTCTGAGCACATAGGCTCTCAGCCCTCTCTAGAGCTGCTTCACTGACCTCAGTGTCTCAGTGATTTTTAAGTGGCATCACATCATGCCAAAGGAAATATGTAGTTAAATTCAGAAAATTGGTGAATATTTAATGACTAACAATCTGGTGTAGATGTTTGACAAAAATGCTATGCATAAAGTGAAAGGAAATTAAAACTTTTTCATTTCTGATCAAGACTGCTATTGTTGCAGGTGTGCCTCTTGGCCCTGCCATGCTCCTCAGAGCCCAGGTGCTCACATCTCATCCATGTTGGTTGTCACACAGTGCTTTTTCTGTAACAGGGCCATGTAATATGGACAGAAGGAATGCTGTACTGTCCACTGAGGGCCAGGAGTCCCCTAGAGTCAAATTCCCACTACATCTGGCAGATGCACTCATGAATTGTATTTCCATGTGCGTCGGCAGAGCGTGTAGTCACTGGTTGACACAGCATGTCTGCCTGCCAACCTTCCTGAGTAAAAGTAGGGGCCAGACTTGTACTTCAGCCACCAGGAAAGCAGAAGATTATACTACTTTTTAAAATATATGAGACCAGCTGGGCATGGCAGCATATGCCTATAATCCCAGCGCTTGGAAGGATGAGGCATACAGATTGCCATGAGTTCGAGGCCAGCCTGGACCTACACAGTGAGACCCTGTGTCTAACACACACACACACACCTACACAGTGAGACCCTGTGTCTAACACACACACACACACACACACACACACACACCCTGGACCTACACAGTGAGACCCTGTGTCTAACACACACACACACTACGGCAGAAAGTCTCTTTAATGTGTAAAGTTGTGGACCCAGAGCACCTTGAGTTCACAGTCAGTGACCCATCTCTGTGCATGCATTAGGAATAATAACCTTTTGTTTTACTTTTATGATTACTCTTAATGTTCTTTAAAAGCCACACTATTACATCATGAAGGATTTTGACCTAGTATACATTTTGTCACAAAAACAATTAGTAATTTTGGTTTATGGCACAAATTCAGATTTGTTGATTCCATCCTTGGTTTTCATGCTTTTATTTTTTATATTGTTAGTTGATAATATAATAATTCATAGATTTTGTTATTCTTGTGTTCTGATAATAGCATTACTATTTTTATATAATATTTAATAAGTGCTTGAATTCTCTATAACTTTGATCCTTTTAGCACAATGAATACTTAGCTGGACCCACTACTTCCTGTTTTTACTGGCCTCTTTGCACTAAACCTGGTACAGTGATACCTTGGTTCATGAACTTATGTCTTCTGTTCTGGTTATAAACCAAATTGGACAAAAAGTCAAAGTCAGTAGTTAGGTTCAGGGTTGACCTTATGGGGAAATTTGATTTGGTTCTCATCCAGTGCCGTTTGTGACTCACATTGTGGAAAGAAATTAAGTTCGTGAACCGAGGTGCCACTGTATAATGACCTGGATCATCTTTGTCAGCTCTAATAGTATCATTATCATCATTAGTCATTATGTTGTCATACTTTGTCTACAGAAAGCTATTGCTCATTTAAAATTTAAATTTTGTGCATAGCATTAGAAGTGCTTGATAAAATGCAGTACTTCCAGTCCCTGTTTGAGGCTGTAATTAAAAAACCTCTTTGTGCCCTGGGACATGCTTTTTCTTCTTCTATATCTTTCTCACCCTTTCTGGAATGATGCCTACTCATCCTTCCCTTCAAATCCTGGCCTAGCCCTATACTGTAGGCAGTCTGTTCATTCAGTAACCAAACTACAAAGTGACTGTTCTTTGTACTGTCTCATTTTGTGTTTTTTTATTGTAGTATATTATTATGTACCACAGATTCATTAATCTGATCTACTTATTACCTGTAAAAGATCTCTTAAAAATAATCCTACTTAAAAACTAGAAACACATTTTATGGTAAATACTGAAACAAAATATTTAACAGACTTTAGTTTGGAAAATAAAGTCTGTCTCATATGTAACAGTTTTAGTTTCAAGTACAGATATTCCTTGTTTAATAGCCTACCTGATTAACAACTGCTTCGGCTTATACCCCATCACTCAGACTATTTTTTTTTTTTTTGGTACAGTTCCATACATCTTGTTTATAGAGCCTCAGTGTCTTTTTTTGTACACTGTACCTTATTTATACAGAATTGTAATTTTTGCTGATTGTACTGCACAATATAGTACTGCAGTTTTATGTCCTGTTATGCATTGCACTATTGCATATGAGAGTTTCCTTTGACCATTTCTTTGTTCTGAATATTGTAATATACATACTATATACAATTCGTCAGCGACCAGTTCACTTAATGACTTAGTTGCAGGAATGTAACTCATTCATTAAACAAGAAATATCTATGCAGGCCAGTTCACAGAACAGAGGCTCAGTTATAGCTTACTTGAATTCTGTGCTGCTGTGGATCGCAATCAGGAAGAGCTACTCAGGACTGGAACTTGTACTCCTAGACCTCTTCCCTTCCTTGGAATATCAGATCAGCTCCTACAAGGAGCAGTGCTGTCAGTTGTCTCTAGTTATTAACTACTGTCTTTTTTTTTTTTTTTTTTTTAACTACTGTCTTATCCTTGTGCTTCACTGGCCAAATTGATGTTTGGTGCTGTTTTTAATATCGCTTTCATCGGAGTCTCTACTCTTTCTGCAAGACTGAAAGTTTCACTTGGCAGTTATTTTGCATTGCATGTGCACAGCCTGTGCCTTCTGGGACATGGGGTGACCATGCTGTGTGGTAAATAGGGTAGGTTGGGTGCTGGAGAATAATGGTAAGAGTGGGAATTGATTTCAGCACTAGCCAGTTTCTCATGTCACCAAATAGTTTTACTATGTGTCGAATTTTACTTTTTCACTCAAGCCTAAAAATGCTGGGTCTGGTGTTACTGATGTTCAAGTTATGAAGCACCAAATTGTGAGCAAACTTTGTTGCAAGTGTTCTTGAAATAAGCATTTCTGAAAAGTCTCTTCTGCCAAATGTATCCTAAATGGCAATGACTTTGAGAGAGTGAAAGATTTGGGCAGGTCTCTCAAAAACTTTTTAAGTTTGATTAGAACAAAAGAGAAAAATGAAAACACAATGAGTGGGTTTCTCCAAGGAACCAGAAGGGTTCCTGGGGAAGATAGTCTCAGATGAGTGGGCTCCAGCTCCCTTAAATCCCTGTGCCCCAGAACAGGTGTCTCAGCTAGTGAGAGCTTTCCGTTCTATAGCCTTCTCCACAAAGCTACCAGCCAGTTGGAGGTCTCTGGTGTGTGGCTAGGGCTTCTCACGGGTCCCTTGGTAGGGTACCTTGTCCTGATCAGTGTGTCTAGGGGACTTACTTGGTTCTAAAAACAAAAGCCACAGTCTCCCGAGCGTAGCACTTTACTGTAACAAAGAGAAAAATGATGGCAGCTTTATGGAAGAGGAAATTTGAGGGTGTAGTTTGGCAAGTTTTGGAGAAAAGGGTCAGATGCACAGACAGGAAGAATAGTTTAATAATAGTTTTCAGTAATCACTGCTAAAATTAAAGGCAGGCTACTGTCTTTTCTTGATTGGGTATAACTTTAATGTGATAAGAAAAATCTGACAGGAATCAGTTGGACTTCTGTGTTATCTTAACATTATTTCCTAGTTTTCTAGTTGTACATGAGATAGTTTCTTTACAGAGATAGGATTATAGCTAAACCATTTGCAGTCTTTCCCAGTTGATGTATTTTCTCTTATTTCTCAGCATGATCTAAATAAGGGAAATGCCTCTGGTCAGCGTCACCTGAGAAGCCCTAGCCACACACCAGAGACCTCCAATTGGCTGAAGCTTGGTGGAAAAGGCACTGAAGGATTTAAATGCTCCTACTAGCTGAGATACCTATTCCAGGGCTCAGAAGACTAAGGGAGCTGGAGCCCACACATGTGTGAGATGACCTTCCCCAGGAACTCTCCTGGTCCCTTAGAGAAACCTGTTCATTGTGTGACACGAAGGGAGCACTAAGTGCCTATTTAACCAAGACAGGATATTCTGAACAGTGCATGTCATTTTATTAGTACATACATGAAGACATACTTTACATCTATAAAATTATGGATTTTTTTGTTGTTTTTTTTTTCTTTTTGAGACAAGGTCTCAGTATTCAGTTCAGGCTGGCCCTGAGCTCACTTCGTAGCCCTGGCTGGTCTTGAACTCACAATGATCCTCCTGCCTCAGCCTCCCGAGTGCTGGGATTACAGGTGTGCACCACCACACCTGGCTTACTACCTGTATAAAATTATGAGTATATTACAAAGCTGATGACTGCACTAATGCCATGAAATAACCACACTTTATTCTTTCTTCTATTTCATGTTTTGAAGAAGAAAGAAGATTGGACATTGATGAGAAACCTCTAGTTGTGCAGTTGAATTGGAACAAAGACGATCGGGAGGGCAGATTTGTCCTTAAGAATGAGAACGATGCCGTTCCTGCCAAGGTGAGGCCTTGTATTATACTGTAGTCCAGGGCCAAATCTGGTGGAATAAACAGAAGACAGATGTTGTGTCACAGATACTGCTTTGCCCTCCTCCTAGAAAGTAACTCCTATATTACTTACTTCACCTAGTAATCCCAAACCTTGCTTTTCTCATATGTATACATACATGCATACATATATCTGTTCATTTGTTTAATTAATTAAATTATTTATTCGTGTTGTAAGATGGAGTCTCACTATATAATAGTTCAGGTTGACCTTGAACTTGTGGCCATCCTCCTGCATCAGCCTCACAAGTGCTGGGATTATAGGTGTGTACCACCATACCTGGCTTCTCACTTTAAAGAAGAGTTACGTAGCTTTTGTGACCAGAATATTAATGATCAAGTTGTCTTCCATTTTTTTCCCCATAGCTGTAAAATTAAAATGTTCTAATAAGAATCAAAAGGGAAAAGAAAACTTCTGTGGCCTATTTATGTATGAACTTTTAGATGCAACGGACCTTTTTATATGATATACACAATAGGAATAAGTAAACTTTCTTGAATTTCTTTGGATGATGTAATAGAAGGATTCTGAAATTTTCTCAGGTGGTAAAATAATTGGAATTCCATACTATTGTTCCTTTTTGTGTATAGTACTGTTGTAGTTGGGGTTTACAAGGGAAACAATTTAATATAGGACAAATGATTTACAAGATTATTTCATAGTAGTCACCCAAAGAGTAAAGTACAAAAGAATGTAGGAAAGCTGTGCACGTACTAAAGACCCAAAGAATCCAACTGAGGGCCTGGATCGCATGGCAATGTCCTGCCTAAGTCCAGTTGAAGACCTAGAGCCTATGGCAGTGTTCTCCATGAGTCCAATTGGAAGCCAAGAGCCCATGACAATGTGCCATGGAAGTCTGTTTCAAGGCTCTGCACTGAGAAGGCCCCAGGGTCAGAAATGGAAGCTAGAAAGTCTGTGCCATCTCGATGAAGGATCTGTGTCAGCAGGCTGAGGGATCTGCACTGGAGCCAGGAGGCAACTCTGGACCAGAGCTCCCCCGAAGAATACCACAGCCATCCTCAGCAACAGTGAGGTCCCAAGCTCCTCCAGTGTGAGAACAGCAGATTTCATATCAGGAAAGCCAGCATGACAGGCTCCCCCGGAGAGAATCAGCAGCCCCACTTCTTCCTTTTTATGTTATTTCCAGCAGTCCTCAGGTGGGCCTTCCATAGCGCTACTATACTCATTCAGTGCAGCTGGGTGTTACAAGCTGACCACCAGTTGTCAATCCATCACAAATATGACATATTTGTATAATTTGAAAATAACTATATCATTTGATGTTAAATCGTGGCATTTTACACAAGAATTCAGTATTAATAAGCAATAGCAAATGCAAAGGTTAAGAATATTTTGGGGAAATCTTGTCTTTAATTCCTCCCCCCTCCCACCACCACTTGGGAAAAGACTGTCATTATTCACTTAGAGTAGCAGAAAAATTTCCTTTTCTGAGATGTTAGTGTTGCCTGTTGAATCCTAGATATCTGTACAATTGTATTCTTGACCATTTTTATTTTTGCAGTCTAATGACTTATATTTGCAGCAAATGCTTATAACATAAGAATGGATTTCAAACATTAGGCTACCCATGTTTTATTTCATTTTGCTCCATGATTTCAGCTAGTGGCATTCTCTTCTGTGTGCTTTACTGTGGACCCCAGACTGGCACTGCGTATCTTTGCTCTTTTTAGGACAAGTATGGTGCTCTAAGTATCTGAATAGAAATGAGATTATTAACATTCTTTTTTCCTTTATCTGATAAAGTAAAAAACAGTGAGTAAAAAACCTATTAAGTTTCTATACAAAAATAAGGTGGCTTAATCTGCTAGCAGGCCATGTTTTTAGGTTGAAATGTAAATTAAGGATAAGCAAACGAGAGGAACAAGATCTGGGTAAGAGGACAGTTTTGCACAAACACACTATAGAGAACTTCGGCTCACAAAAGCCAACTTAGGGATACTCTTAACATTTCTTCTGAAGTTAAAGAAAACTACGTAGTAGGTAAATGATAATGTAGACTCCTTGTTCCCCTCTGGTTTTTTTTCCAGTACCAGGAATTAAACTAGACCTTGTATTTGCCAGGCAGGCTCTGTGCTGCTTGCTATATTCCTGGCCTATTCCCATATATTCATTAGGTTCCTTTTACTTAGGTTACTTTATGGTAATTTATTTGGAGTTTTATTTATTAAAATTCAGATCTCATGATTCCTACCCAAATTTTCTTGCTGGTTTTGAGTTTTTGTTTGTTTACTTATTAGTGAAGTAAAATTTATATATGGTGAACTAAATCTTCAGTGTACAGTTCACTTGGTTTTGACAAAAACACCCATACGATTATCAGCCCAATCATGGTAAAGAACATTTCTTTTTTTTTCTTTTTTTTTTTTCTTTTTTTTTTCCAGTACCGGAAATCGAACTCACGACCTTGCTGTTGCCAGGGGGCTAAATCCCCAGCCCTTTGGTAAAGAACATTTCCACGACCCTACACTTCTGTTCTTAGCTTAGGTTTTCACTGTAGCTTATGAGGCAAAAGTAGCCAACCCATAAGGAGTTTTATGAGATTCTTGGGTAGTGACCAGTGTAGTAATTATGTTTCTTTCATCAGAAGGTTCAAAGTAATGGACCAGAAAAACAGGAAAAAGAAGGTGTTATCCAGAACTTCAAGAGAACTCTCTCAAAGAAAGAAAAAAAGGAAAAAAAGAAGAGAGAAAAAGAGGCCTTGAGACAGTCATCTGAGAAAGAAGACAGACCTTCCCAAGGGGATGACAGGTAAGTTAGTTTTGGAAGTATTCCTATTGCTTTGTGCTCTAGTCCAGATGTTTTTACTGCAGTAAACTTGTTAATTTACCCAGTAAGTTACGGAAGGATGGAGATCTATCAGGTTTATTGACCAAGCATGTGTCTTTCCATGTCAGGGTTGACCAGAAGGTCTTAACTAAACAGGATTGTTGGCTGTCCAGCGGCTGTTTTCTGAGGGTGGAAAGAGTCTGCTCTACTGTCTTGCTCATCCTAGGCAAACCCTGCTCAATGATGGGGTTTTTTCCTAAGCAAGTGCTCCTGCCAGTGGTCTTCATTTTCATCTGATCCTTTCCTCTTGCTTCTGTGGTTTTGATCCCTGAGGCAGCAGTGGGTTCTTACATACCTCAGATGTGCTTAATATCTGATCAGAAGTTGGCATCTATTCAACATTCATATGTGCCATCTCTAGTTCCCTCCATTTCCTATCCTGTCACACCAGTCTTATCATAGATATACTTTACCTGTCCCAAACTGTTTGAGCTTTTGACCTCAGAGCTGAGGGCAGAAGGAAAATCAGGCATTATATAACCTAGACTTTTCTCCTTGGATAGACTTTTTAGTTCCCAGCTTGCCTGTCACAGTTTTCATTAATTTAGTTCAGAACATTTGACCATCATTTGCTTACTTTTAGGTAGCTTGCTGTTGCCTTGGTCTTGACTGCATCATATTCTAAATAATCCTTTTTTTGTTGCTGAAGTAATTAATATACATTTGTTTTAGAAAGTCAAAATACATAGATTAGCAAGAAAAAATAAAGAACTCACCTGTTTTCACATGAACTCAAAGAACCTTAATCTAGTTTGTTTTCTCTAAATAAATGTATACACTTTCCATACTTATATAGGATTTAAGCAAATATATCGGATTTAAGCAAATATATCAGTCTTTTCCACTGAGACAAGTGTGTGTGTACACACTGTGTGTGTGTGTGTATATATATATATATATATATATATATATATGTATGTATTTTCTCACAAAAAGTTTTAAATGATTATGTGGTATATTCTGTCATACAGATCTATAATTTATATACCTGGCCCCTTTTTGGCGCATTTGTTAGTTATTTACATTGTTTTGGTATTATACATTATAATCCAGTCAGTGTCATTGTTCTGGAATTTTGGGAACTTACCTGATCACTTCCTTGAAAGATACTGTAGAACAGCTAGGTGACAGGTCTGGATACTCTCAACCCATTGGCAGACGAGCCCTTCCTCACATATGGCCTGTAAGCCCTCTCATTTCCTCATACTCTTAAAGTTCTTGAATGTTATAGGACAGTGTATTACCTCTATAAAGTAGTATTTAATATTCTCAACAAATTGAATTTATTATTAATAAAGTAATATTCCATGTTTTCATTAACTGTTTATATTCTTCTGGTGCAATGTCCTCTTTGAGGCTTTTCCCAATTGCTGATGTTTTCTTAGTATTGAGCATATCAGCCATTTGTCTGTAAATGCTGTTAAGTTTAGACAAGAACTTGAGTCCATTTTAGATTGTGTGAGTTTAGATGTTAATCTGTTAGGCATTGGTGTCTGATTACTGGGCATAGTACTACACAAGCTTTATTTAACAGTAATACAAAAATACTTGTATAGATACATTGTTCATATGTAAAATGTCAAAAGGAGTGTAAACACTAATGCTTTATAGTTTGTTCTATCAGTTCAATTTCTGTGGTGATACATTCTTTGATTTAGAAAGTGAGCTACTTAAAATGAGTTAAGTTATTCAACTTGATTAAAATTTTAATGCTTTTAAATTTTTATGATTAAATTATATTTATTAAAATTTTATTTATTTTAATAAAATGTTTATTAAACTTTTTCTGTCTTAACCTTAATATTTCATTTTCTGCTTATCATTCTGTACAGTTGATTTCTTCCACAGAGACTACTGTAACAATTTCTTTTTGAGTATTTAACTTTAAGAAAATGAATGTTGGTAAATGTTTTAGGCATTAAAAATATCATGTTGTTTAATTTGCTTTCTTCAAGATTTACTGTAATTTTAAATAAAGTTCTTACTAAAGCACATTCAACTCTTATTTTTATTTGTGGTTGAAATGTTGTGTAATTATCACTATTTGGTTTATTGTAGGAAAAACTGGTGAACATGACTGAAATATGTAATTTATACATTTTTGTTTTAGCCCTTTCTTTTTTTGGTACAGGGTATCGAACTCAGGATCTTGTACTTGGAAGGCAGGTGCTGCACCATTGAGCCATATCCCTGGCCCCCTGTTGAAGCTTTTTTAATACAACAATTCAGTTGTATAATCTCATAATAAAGTTTTAATTGTAGATTTCTGCCCAGTTTAGTATATTAGAGTGTACTGAGAGAAATTATATGTTCTGTTACATAGTAATTAGTGCATTGTAAATAATATACATCAGACCTGTTATGATATCAGTTTAGTCAGATAACACCTACCATTTTGATATTTGTATGATTTTGTATTTGGAGTAGAAAAAGTAGACAGTATACTACTGGTGGTTTTTTTTCCTCCTACAAAGTGAGAATTCTCGACTAGCTGCTGAGGTTTACAAAGACATGCCTGAAACCAGCTTTACGCGAACAATTTCTAATCCTGAGGTGGTTATGAAAAGACGGAGGCAACAGAAATTGGAAAAGAGAATGCAGGAGTTCCGTAGCTCAGATGGGCGGCCTGATTCAGGTAAACAGAACATGTTTCTCGGCATACTTGTTATAAAGAATATTTACTGTATTATGCTTTTTCTATATGCATGAGGCTTTCCTAACTAAAGCAGTGGATGAGTTAGCTTTGTAATAATAAATGCATCCTATATATCTTTTACATAGAAGAGTTCTGTTCACAGATAGGCTTAGGTGCATATTTTTCCCTCCATAGCTGTTTTGTTTTGCTTTGTTTTGTTTTTGAGACAGGGTTTCACTGTGTAGTTCAGGCTGGCCTTGAACTCACTAAGTAGCCCAGGCTGGCCTCGAACTCAGTGATCCTCCTGCCTGAGCCTCCGGAGTGGATTACAAGTGCCAGCACGCCTGCCCAGCATAGCTTAAAAAAAACTGGAAATTTTCAAATACATATAAAATAAAAAGGGAAGATGTAATAAACTTTCCTGTGCCTATCGTAAAGTTTTGATAAATAATTTATGTCTCTTCTCTACTCCAGTATACTTTGCTGACATTGCCAAAATACTATTTTTAAGTAAATTACAGATTTATCGTTATTTCATCTGTAAATATTTGGATGTATTTTCCTGCAAGATGAAGATTCTTAAAACAACAAAAAGTGTAACCTCAATACCATTATCACATACAAAAGAATTGACAATAATTTCTTACTGTCATCAAATATACATTGTTTTTCTAATTGCATCTCCTAATTCCATTGTTGGAATGGGAATTTGAATAAGATTTCCACATTAACATTGATTATTATGTCTTTTACTGTTGTCTTCTAAAACTCCCTTTCTTTTGCTTTTTTTTTTTTTTTTTTTTGGTTTTTCTCCGGTACCGGGAACCGAACTCACGACCTTGCGCTTGCCAGGCAGGCGCTTTGCCGCTGAGCTAAATCCCCAGCCCCTCTTCTTTTACTTTACTTCCTTGTTTTGTTGAACCAAGGGCATTTGTCTTAGAGATTTTGCTAACTGTTGGTGGTATTTACCAATTTTTCCTCTATTTTCTCTGTTTCCTTGATTAGATGTAGATATAGGTATAGGAATAGATATAGAAATGGGGTAAGAACAATTATATTAGTATCCTCCAATGATCTTTAAGACTTTTTAGTATACTTCTGGATTTAAAACTCTAATGTTTTTGATCTGGTACATTTTCTATTCTGACTCCTGAATTGGTCCTCTGTGACTTTCTTTCATGGCAGGCTATCTGTCATGTGTGCACATAGTGCCTAGGCTTTGAGACAGCTGCTTCTCTTTAAGTTTTCATTTCTTAAACCTATTTTGATTTTAGAAAATGTGGGTGTTTTTTATAGTAACATTCTTACTACTTAACAAAATTATTTTTTTGTCTGAAATAAGTAATTAAAAGTGTCAAAATAAAAATAATGTATAAACAGTATGATACTGAAACATTTTAAGATTTTTGTGAAATACATTTCAGGTATATCTTCTATAGACATGGTGTTGAAGTGATGTGTTTTAGCATAATTAATTTCTTTTTTATGACTTGTTCCCATATTTAGGGCTTCGTTGTTTTTTACACTAGAGGTTTGCGTCTTTAAAATTTAAATTTGTTTAATAGTTTCAAAGGGAAATCTACAAAATAAGATACAGTTAAAGAGGTCCAGTTTTTCCACCCATAAGTGGCAGTGTATTTGCATACTTTTATTCTGCCTTGTTTTTCTCTTTGCCATTATATCCTGGAATTTACACCTTATATTTTAGGGAAATAGAGATTATAGAGAATAATAACCAGTGAGTTTACTGTTGCAGTTATAAAGTGGTTTTTGCTTTTTGGTTTGGGTGTTTGTGGTTTTTAGTTTTTTGTTTGTTTTGGTTTTTTGGGACAGGGTCTCACTATGTAGTTCAGGCTAGTCTGGAACTCATTATGTAGCGTAGGCTAGTCTTGAACTTGTGGCAGTCCTGCCTTAGCCTCCTGAGTGCTGAGGTTACAGGCATGTGACATCACACCTGGCCTGGTTTTGTACAGGATATTTTAGCTATTTGACATAAAATTTTTATTTTACTTGTAATTTTATTCAGCAAAGAAAATACTTGCTAAAAGGTGGTTGAGTTACAGTTTTATTGGTTAAAAAAATAGCATAAGTTTTTAAAAAAAATCATTGTGTTGATCTAGCCTTCCTAAAAAAGTTTAGATTTTTGCCATCAGCTCTGTATTTTTCATAAAATGTTGCATTTGGGTGCTTCAGAGTTGGATATTTTAATATTATGTTTTATACACCTGATAGCTCATTTGATAGTTACAAGATTTTGGGTGTGAGAATTGACAGGATTTCTTTAAAATCTTATTTATAACAGTTTTAGTGGGAAGGACTGCTAAATTCTAGAACTTTTTTTCTCTTGAATCAAAGTTTGAACCAGAGGGTTTTACTACCTGTGCAGTTTGTGTTTATAACTGTCATCTAATGTTGCATGTGACAGCACTTTATGTCTGAAGAGGAGGCCATGTACATGCTGGCACTTATCTGAGGGAAAGTATGTTTATGTGTTTCCATAGGCGTCTCCATTTTGGTCTCCATTCAGGAGTTAGGTTCCATAGACTCTTCTAAAGTTCCTGGTCACAGCCTGTGAGGATTCAGAGCTCTGTAGTTCATTTCAGCGCAGAGTAGTATCCTTGAGCTGGGTGGAGGTTTGTCCTCCAGTTCTCTTGCTGCCCTAAAATTAGGCATTTCACAGGAATTTTATTGGTGATTTAAGAAAAGCTAGAAGAGTGAGGGACTTCTTGATTCCATAAATAATCTAATATGGGTATTTTTGAGACCTTAAAGAATATTTTTTCAAATGTATTCTGTCAGGGATTTGAAATGATTTATAAATATATGCACTGGAAAAAAAGAAAATTAGGAGAGGCAGAGAAAATGTAAAGAAGAAAAGTACCAAAAATTTTTAAAAGGCCTTGTGTGGTGGTACATGCTTGTAATTCCAGCACTCAGAAGGCTGAGGCAGGAGGATTGCTGCAAGTTCAAAACCAGCCTGGGCTACAAAGTGAGTTCAAGGCCAGCCTGAACTGCATAACAAGACCCTGTCTCAAAAAGACAAAAACAAAAAATTTTTAGAGGACAAGAGGAACAGTCAGAATATCTATGGTGCTAACTAACCACATAGCAGATTTGCAGAGAACTATGGTGCTAACTAACCACATAGAGATTTGCAGAGGTGGCTATTGCAGTTTGACATTGTTCCTGAAAGGAGTTTCTGAAGATAAGGCCATGACCCCTTGAGGTTAAAGTATGTGCTCAGGGGTGTGTGAGTCATAACTATAGCTAGCTTACAGTATCCTGTTTTTGTGTCACTTAATATTTTTAATTATAAAATATATACATTTTTCTATCTCTCTCTCTATATATATATGTATATGGCTAATAGTGTACAACAGACCTGTTAGGGTGTGTGTGTGTGTGTGTGTGTGTGTGTGTGTGTGTAGGCAAATAACATCTGCCCCTTTGATACTCAAATGATTTTGTATGTGTTATAGGAAAAAAAGGTTTAAAATATTGTTATATTTTAAAAATTCTGGATGGTTGCTGAGTCTGAACCCAGCACCTCACATGTGTTAGCCAAGTGCTTGACCATTGAACTGCAGTCCAACCCATTTAAAAATTTTCCATTTTGCACAGTCTGGCTAAGTTGCCCAGGGTGGCCTCAAACTTGGGATTCTCTTATATCGGTCTCCCAAGTAGCTAGGATTATAAAATACGTTTTAATGCAGATAAGAATGCAACATTTATGTATGTTTTTTAAAAAATAGGAAACATTTTGCATGTGACTTAGCCTGTGTCTCCAGATACCCATATTTATTTTTGATCTCAGTTGGGCATACTTTGATGCAAAATTTGATTATGCTTTATTAATAAGCTGCTGAAGAGTTTTAAGATGGAGATCTAAAAGACTTTCAATTTATCCTCAGCTGCAGATCTAGATAAATTACGATGGAAGCAGTGCTGTGGTCAGAGGTGGCATCCCCACAAAAGCATTGCACTGCCCATGTAGGACAGAGGGACCAGACAGAGAGGAGTAAAGAATGTTGAAGGGATAGAGTATCAAGACTATAAGAGACTGGGTTTTACTCGAGATAAAACTGGTAGATGTTTATGGACTGTGGAATGAAAGGAGTAGAAGATGGGTTTGTTTCATTGGGGGGGGGAGGTGCTGGCAGGGTTCCAAGGGATGTATGGGTTGGTGACTCAGGGCCCTATCTGGACCCCTGCTCACCAGTTTCAGGTGGGATTAGTCATTGGAAACAATCTGTGTGTTGTGAGGCAGCATCACTGAGTAAGGATGACATTTGTTGGGTAGAGTATACAGGTAACAGAAAATTTACAGGAAAAACAATAACTGAGGAGCCAGCAAAACAAAAAAGACCCTAAAGAATTACAGAAATAGCAGAATATCAAAGCAGAGCTTGTCTATTAAAGGGTTGATTGAGGAAAGAAGGAACATTTGTCTATATAGAGAGTCCTAGGAAATGCTTAAGCAACTAAATATTATGAGCAAAGCAGCTACTTATAGTTAATATTAAGGAAATTAAAAGTATTATGTTTTAAGTTTTTGTTTAAGATTTCAAGATTTACTGGCCAAAGACTATATGTAGAAAGCAGATTGTGACACTAAAAGTGAAAATAGTATGTGTTGGTTTCCATTAAGAAGAAACATAAAAAAATCTGAGGAAAACTTCAGGATCTCCAGCTTCTTAACTGGCTGATTCCCCACTCCCTCAAATGAATTCATAGCTAAAAATGACTTTCTCGATGGTAGTACCTGTAAGTGAAGGCAGCCCCACTCTAGTGACAGATCCCTTAAGAAATTTCTTTGGACTTGAGCACATGGGATGTCATGATTTCTAGGTCACTTTCTAAAAGTAGATTTGTTCAGTGAGACTGGTATTTAACTTCATTTGGCTTTCTGTTTGCTTGAGGTGGAGGTTGAGGAAATGGGAGAAGTGGAGGAAATAGGTATGTGTGGAGGACAGATGTGGAGGACAACTGCACCACAGAGACCTCTCAGTCCTTCTTTTTCTTTCTTTTTTTTTTTTTTTTTTTTTTTTTTTTTTTGGTTTTTCTCCGGTACCAGGAACCGAACTCACGACCTTGCGCTTGCCAGGCAGGCGCTTTTGCCGCTGAGCTAAATCCCCAGCCCCACCTTCTTTTTCTTTCTGTGCTGAGAATCAGCTCATCACTTTGGATATTCATTTGTGTGCAGAGAAGACAGGGATAGTCTTCATTACAGAAGACTGTTCAGTGGTACAGAGTGTCACTAGGTCATCAGGTTCCTGCTGATGCAGCGGGCACTCATTGCACCTGGTACTCCATTGTCCTTTTCTTAAGCTTTGTGAATGGTAACTATCCCTGTTACAGATGTGAAGTTGTGCTCAAATATGTCAAAATATTTTTTCAGGTGGAACATTGAGAATTTATGCAGATAGTTTAAAACCAAACATTCCGTACAAGACAATCCTGCTATCTACTACAGACACTGCAGACTTTGCTGTGGCTGAAGCCTTAGAGAAGTACGGCCTGGAAAAAGAAAATCCTAAGGACTACTGCATTGCCCGGGTACGTAACTATTGAAGCAGTGGTTCTTACCGGTATCATTCATGCTGGGACACTGCATTTGAAGGGAAAAGTATCTCTTGAATTGGTGAAACTTGATTTTCTCCCCCCTGTATTATTTAAGAGTCTGATGAACTGAAACCGCATGTTGTATTTTCTAAAAATAGCAGTCTCCCTCTATTATAAAAGTAACTTAAGGTCCAGTTACCAAGTTAAAAAGTATAAAAAGGTAAGTTGAAAATAAAAACAGCACAAAATTCTAGTACCAAAGGATAACCATACTACTAACATTTTGATATACATCTTTTAAATTTTTGTTTTGCACAGTTAATTTTATTTGCATTGCTTTAATAACTGTAATTTCTTAGAGACAAAGAATATATTTTGACTCAGATATTCAAGAAGTACAGTGAAGTTTTAGTCCTCAGAGTTATTTGGTAACATTAAGTAAAATCCAGCAAGTTTTTTATTCTAAGTAACAGATTACCTGGAAAATTTTTAACTTGTAAATCACAATAGCTTGCTAATTTCTTTACTATAATATTTCTCTAAAACTGCAATTGACAGTAGATTTTAAAACACAGGTACCCCCCTTGCGTTCATCTTAGCGTGTAATTGTTAAATGATACAATAGGATGGCCACTTGTTTTAAATTTTTTCCTGCAAAAATTTTTTTTTTGGTCTTTTTGAGACAGCATACCACTGTGCAGTTCAGGCTGGACTTGAGCTCACTTTGTATCCCAGGCTGGTCTCAAACTTGCAACAATCTTTCTGCCTCAGCCTCCTGAGTACTGGGATTATAGGCATGCACCACCATGCCTGGCATCCCCACAAAATTATTGTAGAATAATTAAAATACAACAGATCACACATATTTAAGTTCTCCAGTTCATAAGTTTTGACATGTCAGCACTTGAGCATTTCCTTCACCTTCAGACATTTCCTCATGCCTCTTTGTAACCCATCCTTCTGACCTCCATTCCCTTGAAGGCCTTCTATCATTATGGGCTACTTGTATTATATAGAATTTTTTGTATGAATAGCACCATATGGTAAGTATTCTTTTTGGTTTGGTTTCTTTAACTCTGCTTGATGACTTTGAGACATAACCAAGTTGTGTGTACCATCCAGAGTTGTGTCCTTTTTGTTATTGACTAGTATGAATATATCACAGTTTGTGAAATGTGTACCTGTTGATAGACATTTGGGCGGTTCCACTTTTCAGTTTTTAACTCTTAAAGTTGCTGCAAATATGTGTATGGATACTTTTTCTCCTGAATGATTATCTAGGACTGTAATGGTTTACTCATGGTAGAGATATGTATGTCACTTTAAGAAAATATAAAACTGGTTTCCAAAGTGGATACCATAGCATACCCCTACTAAAAGTACTTTCTTATGTCATAGTTTCAGTGTTCTTTTTTCTCACCCTTAAAATCATTGTCTGTTTTCATTGTTAGCCATTCTGATAGGTGTTTTGTGGTAGGTATCCCATTGTGATTTATAGTTTATACTCTGAAATCAAGTTCTCTGTGTAACATACATGTTTGTGAATTTTTTCCAAGTCTGTGGCTTACCTTTTATTTCTTAATATTTTTTAAAGAATTTTTACTTTTGTTGAAGTCTAGCATTGTGTTTTTTGTTTTTTTTTTTTTTTCATTTATGTTCCATGGTTTTTATATGCTACATAAGAATTTGGCTCCTGCAAGATTGCAGGCATTGTCCTCTGTTTATCTCCTGCCCTTACATTTCATAGTTTTAGCTTTTACTTTTGAATTGTGTTTTCATTTCAAGTTAATATTTGTATTCGGTGTGAGATAAAGGTCAATGTTCATTTTTTCTGTACAGACACACAGCTGATTCAGCATCATTTGTTGAAGGGATTTTTTCCATAGATTTCTTTGGCACTTTTGTCAAAAATCAAATGACCACATATATGTGATTCAGTTTCTGGACTCATTCACCTAGGTGTATCTTTTTCCCAGTAAGAAACTGTCTTCATTAGTATAGGTTGTATTGTGTTCTGTTCTGTTTTGTGACAGGATCTCGCTTTGTAGTCGAGGCTAGTTAGCCTTGAACTTACTATGTAGCCCAGCCAGGCCTTGAACTCCCAGTGATCCTCCTGCCTTGGAAGTGCTGGGGTTATAAGCCACCACGCCCTGCTAGTATAGATTTATAATGTTTTAAAATCATGTAGAAGAAGTGCCTTTTTCCCTTTTTGTTTGCTTTTGGGTTTTTTTGGTACTGAAGTCAAGCTCATGACTTGGTGCTTGCCAGGCAGGTGCTGTGCCACTGAGCTGTATCCCTGGCCCCTGTTTTTATTTTTAAAAATTGCTTTATTTTAGGTTGTTATTTGTATAAATTTTTTTGTTCTTATTTTTTATATGTGCATGTTTTTCAGTACAAAATGATCACATTCTTTTCGGGGATCTGGTACATGTACCAACACATCCTGATTCTTCTTCATCTCCCTCCCCCTCCCTTTCTCCTACCTCCCTCTACTTCTTGAACTTCTTCCCATTTAAGATTTACTTTCCTACTTCCTATTATCTGTCTTTTGTTTTGATCTTTATTTATATTTTGGCTTTCTTGTATAAGGGAAATCATTTGATACATAAGCTTGTGCATCTGATTTATTCCGGTTAACATGGTCTCATGATGCATCCATTTTCCTACAAATGAGTCAGGTTTATCTCCTAAATGGCAGAGTAGTGTTCCATTGTGTGCAAATACATTTTCTTTATCCATTCGTCTGTTAATGGGCATATAGACTGCTTCTAATATTTAGTTACTATGAATTGTAATGCTATAAACACAGGTATGCATGTATCACTGTAATGCCTTTAACTTTTGGTGGAAGATACCTAGAAGAGGAATAGCTGAATGGAATTTCTAGTTTTAGTTTTTCGAGAAATCTTCATACTACTTTCCACAGTGATTGCACTAGTTTACATTCCCACTTCCAACGTAGAAGAATTCCTTTTTCCACATAGTCACACCCGCATTTGGTATGATTTGGGGGTAAGATAGAATCTCAATGTTGTTTTAATTTGCATTTCTTTAATGGCTAGAGGTGTTGGACAGTTCTTCGTGTATTTATTGGCCATTTATACTTCTTCTGAGAAGTGTCTATTCATTTCACTTGTCTGTTTTTTTATTGGGGAGGGAGGCTAATTTTTTTTTAGTGCTCTGTATATTTTAGATGTTAGTTTTTTCTCTGAGGAATAGCAAGCAGTTTTTCTTTTCCCATTCTATAGGTTTTCTTTTTACTCTGTTGGTTGTTTCTTTTGCTGTGCAGAAGCTTTCTAATTTGACTTGATACTCTTCCCTGTGCTACCAGGGTTCTGTTCACAAAATCTTTGCCTATACCTATTACTTTTAAGACTTACATGTATTTTATCTTCCAGTAGATTGTGTTTCTATTACAACATTTAGATATTTGATCCATTTTTATTTTAACTGATACATAGTGGGATATATGGGTCTAGATTCAATATGCTGCATATAGATAGCCAGTTTTCCCAGCACCATTTATTAAAAAGGCTATCTTTTCTCCAGTGTTTGTTTTTAGTCCCTTTGTCAAAGATCAAATAGTTGAATGTATTTATGGTTGTTTCTGCATCCTCTATTCTTTTCCATTGAGCCACATCTGTTTTGTGCCAGTACCATGCTGTTTTGATCACTATAGCTTTGTATTATAACTTCATATCCAGGCTGGTAATGCTTTCCACTTTACTTTGTTACCCAGTTTATTGTTATGAGTCTCTTCTAGTTTCTTATGAATTTTAGGATTGTTTTCTCCTGTCCTGTGAAGAATGCTGTGGGTGTTTTGATTGGGATAGTGTTAAATCTGTGTATTAGTTTGGAAGTATGGCCATTTTTGAATGTATTGATTTTGCCTATTCAGGAGCAAGAAATATCTTTGTATTCTCTTATGTCCTCTTTGATCTGCTTTTTCAGAATGCTGCAGTTTTTGTTGTAAAGATCTTTTACTTCCTTGTTTAGGTTAATTCCTAAGTAATTTTTCTTCGTGCTATTGTTGACAGTATTGTTTTCCTAATTTTGTTCTCAGTGAGGTCATTATTGGTGTATAAGAACTATTGATTTTTATTTCCTGCCATGTTGCTGAATTTGTTTTTTGGGTTTTTTTATTTTTATTTTTTGGTATCAGGAATTAAACTCAGGATCTTATGCTTGCCAGGCAGGTGCTTGTGCTGCTGAGCTATATGCCTTGCCCCTAAATTTGGTTATTAATTCTAGGAGTCTTTAAGTGGAATTTTTTGATTCTTCTATGTAGAGGATCATGAGATCTGCAAATAATGGCAATTTGATTTCTTCCTTTCTCATACATATCCCTTTCATTTCTTTTCCTTGGCTAATTCCTCTTGCTAATATATCAGGTACCATGTTAAATAGGCGTGGTGATAGTGAACATCCTTATCTTTTTCCTGATTTTAGAGAGAAAGCTGTTTTCCCCATTTAATATGACATTGGTAGTAGGTTTGTTATAAATGGCTTTTATCAAATTGAGATAAGATCTTTCTATATCTGTTTCTTCAGTATTTTTTATCATGAAAGGATGTTGGGTTTTGTTAAATGCTTTTTGTTCATCTATTGAGATGATGTGTTTTTTTTTCTCCTAGCTTCTGTTTATGTAATGAATTACATTTATTGATTTATGTATGTTGCATTGTCCTTACATCCTAGGATGAAAGCCTACTTCATGATGTATAATCTTTTTGATGATTTGTTGCATTCTGTTTGCCAGTATCTTGTTGAAGATTTTTGTATCTATTTTCCTTAGATTGGCCTGTAGTTCTCTTTTTTGGTTGGATTTCTGTCTGGTTTTGGAATCAGTGTAATGCTAGCATCCAGGAATTACTTTTGGAGTACTCCTTCCTTTCCAAAGAGCTTGAGAAGTATTGGTGTTATATCTTCCCTAAAGTTCTTGTGGAATATAGCAGTGAATTCATCCAGACCTAGGCTTTTCTTAGTTGGTAGGG